TCCTGGCCCGCTGCGGCGGATCTTTGAAGTTTGATGACGTGTCGCAAGCGATGCGTTCGTGTTATCCAGGGTATGTGGTGCCGAAAAGGAAGGTTGCTGCCGCGCACTACGTGGAAGATGAGAATGAGGCCTGGTATGACTACAACCAGCCCGAGGCAAGCGGTGAGCAAGAGCTCTTCACGGAGGAGCCGGAGACCGGCTTTGGCGATGTTGATGTTCCTGGCCGAGCACGACCTCTACGAGCCCGCGGACGAGGTGGAAGTGTATCCCGAGCGGGAAGTGGCCGAAGTGTTGGCCGCCTCAAGTACCTGCCTGGATGGCAGCCCAACCAGAAGATTCCCTGCTTGAACATAGTCGATTAAGCCAGTAGCTATCAGGTTATGGCTCCTCTAGCCGGTAGAGCCACTGGTGAATCTCGAAGACAGGCCTTGCAGGAACGATGGGTAACTTGGGCAGGTATTCCAGAGGAAAACATAGTTGACCCCGATCAAGCTAACCTTAGTGCTGCTCTGACCGTGCCGCAATAGCTCGCGAGCTCTCATATATATCGACCACGGCCGCCGAAGCCCACTGGAAACTGGGGAAGGTGGAAGTGCATGGTGGTTGGTTTAGCAGCAGGGTTCTAGAGAAGGTTCTTGCAGAGGTCATGCCACATGACCGGGCAACATGGCCCATTGCAAGAGTGAGCTTATTCAAGTCTATGGTGTGACTCCAGCTCAGAATGTGTTCGGACGAAATCCTAGGGTGGCCACAGACCTGCTTGATGAACCTTTGCAGGTGATTCCGGCTTGTGCGAGGAAGGACTGGCGAGACGCGTGGCCACTAGACAGGCAGCCCGCCAGGCTGTCATTGATTGCCCTTCAGGATGATAAGGCACCTAGGCTCGGGTTGCAAGCCAAGACTAGAACGGTCAAGGCCTATGCACCGAGAGCTAGAGTGGCTTATTGGAGAACTGAGAAGTCCCATGAAGGTGTGATCGAACGCGGTGGTCGGTGGTATGGTCCTGCGGTTGTGCTGGGATATGTGGGTCGGAACTCAGTGGTGATACATAAGAAACAAATTCTTCGTTGTGCGCCGGAGCAGGTCCGGCCATCCACTTCTGAAGAGGAAACCTTGCTTGACACACCAGGCCTTGAGCTCCTCGGAATTAAACAGATGTTGGAATGGAAAATGGATCGAACTCCACCAAGCAATACGTCGGTGTCACCCCCGAAGGTATCCCACCTGTTTCTCCAAGTGAAGCAAGAGCACCAGCTGAGGAGCCGGCAGCGCACCGCGCGCCCGTGACCGTGGCACGAGCGCCACCAGCTGTTCCTGACAATCCTCAGCAGGCCTTCCGAAGCCAGCCCGAACCGCGTGAACACGAACGAGGGCTGTCAGAAAATGTCGCGCCATATCCTGCCAGAGAACCCGAACCCTCCAATGAAGCCACCTATGCTCCAGTTCGTAGCAGAGTTCGTAGTAAAACGTCCCCAGAAACTCTGCTTTGGCCCCATGCCATGCTTCTTGTTGAATTTGCGGAGATGATGCAAGAGGTGGTGCCTAGGTTGATGTCACAAGCCTTGAGCAGCAATGGGATGAACGATGGGCCGGCTGAGCCGTCTACTGCATCGGATGCGTCGCCCCCAAGAGTCACCAAAAGCGAGGCTTCCAGTGAGCCAGCCGGGCCGAGTGAGAAGCGACTGGCCAGTGATCTTTCTGATGCTGCATCAGCCTTGACGCCTGACGAGCAGTTGCTGTGTGAATGGCAGCCATCAGAAGTGTTGGCTGCACAGTGGCAAGCATCCTCCCTACCTGTAGAAGCCCTAGTTGCTGCTCACATAAACAAGAGTGCCGCTAAGGAAATTCCTGCCTCCAATAATCCGCAAGAACTTCAGATAAAGGTTGATGAAGCTAAGTTGACTGAGTGGCACACCTTGATGGGACGGCATGCCACACGGCTTGTTCTTGGCCAAGAGGCTCGGACGGTGCGTGAGCGCTTCTCTGACCGAATCATGGGAAGCAGATATGTTGTTACTCGGAAGGAAGAAGAGGACGCACCGGTTCGTGTGAAGGCCCGCTGGTGCCCACAGGGACACCTTGACCCGGATTTGCAAACAAAGGCCTTGGCAGGCGACCTTCAGAATCCTACCTTGTCACAGTTAGGACGTGCTCTCCTCTTCCAGACCATAGCCTCTAGCAAGTGGACCCTAGCTCTGGGAGACGTGAAGGGCGCATTTCTGTCGTCAGGGGCGTTACCGTCCGCTCTATGCCCGTCTTCCGCCAGGGGGAATCCCTGGAGTGCCGGCTGATGCGTGATCGAAGTTCTAGGAAGGGTTTATGGGTTGAATGGCTCACCTAGTCCTTGGAGTAAGACACTCAACGCTGCCCTTCTAGAAGTAGGCTTCGAGCGATCAGGTTAGATCCGTGCTTGCATTATATGCGAGACAATGGTGCCTTGACTGGACTTTTCGGCGTGCATGTTGATGACAATGCCACCGGCGGAGAAGGAGCCAAGTACACGGGAGCCCTAGAAGCTCTTAAGCAAAAGTTTGAATTCCGCAAGTGGCGTTTGCGTGATGGAGACTTCTGTTGTGCAAGGTATACCCAGGATCCGGCAACAGGCGAGATTACTATGTCCCAAGAAGCCTTTGTTTCAAAGCTTAGGCCTCCAAGGTTTAGTCGCGCCCCTGCCCAGGATAGGAATGCCGAGTTTACTTCCGATGAGGTCAAGTGCTTCAGAGCAATCAATGGTAGCTTGAACTGGTTAGCTCAACGCAGGTTTCCTTTGCGCAACAATCCTTCCCAACCTTTCGGGTGTCTGACGCACTGGCTGTCAATCAAGCAATTCGTCGTGCCCGACAGCATGCAGCCTTGCCACTGGTGTATCGATCAATCCCCTTAGACCAACTGACAGTATTGGTTCATTCGGATGCTGCTTATGCAAATGGCAAGGAGGGTGCAACTCAGGCAGGCTACATGATTAGTTTTACAGAACAGCATATGCATCAGGGATCGCTCGTGAGCTGGACCCCCGGATTTTGGAAAAATTATAGGCTTTCTCGGGTTGTAAACTCCACCCTTATAGTGCCGAGGCTCAAGCGATTGCAATGGCCACCGGTATGGCGGAATGGTCTCTGGTGCTCATGAGCGAATGCATTCACGGCCGCACGTTTCTTCAGTCGATGTGGAACACTGCTAGCCGTAGGGAGTCAGGGATCCGCGGAGACAGAAAGTACCTGCCGTATGACGGTCAAAGGCATCTGGTTGTCACTGACTGCAAGAGTTTGTTTGATCATGTTCAATCACAATCGGCCCCAGCTCTGGATGATCGTCGCACTGCTTCAGACATCGCGATACTTCGAGAAAGCCTTAGCAAGACCGGCGGCTCTCTTCGCTGGGTTCCTACGACCTTTATGCTTGCTGACTCTGTCACGAAGCTTTTGATCTGCTTCGTGGATGTATCCTTCAAGGCTACTATCAAATATGCCCGGAATCTGTGGTGCTACAAACTCGCGCCGATGAGCGTGCTCGCCGGAAAAGAGCTTTCCAAGACTGCACCCGCTCCGGATGAGGCTGATAGTAAGAAGAGTAAAGCGTAGGCTAGGCCCGCCTGCCCTGCCCGTAGGTGATAATGTCGTGCACTCCTTAGTAACAGGGTACTGCTGAGTGCCAGCCCTCTGCCAAACTGTACAGTCGTCTGCAAATGTGTCGTCGGTCAGGGCCAGCTGATCAAACTGTGTGCCTGTGTTTTGCCACCGCCTTCGTGCAACATGGCCTTCTCGCGCCCCCTCAGTGCCGCTTCGACTCCCAGCGTGTCGCCTGAACTGGTGGCACAGCGCTGGGGATGGCTGGAGCAGGGCATGCCTCCAGTGGAGCATGCCGAATGCCGGCGCCTCATGGTCAAGGCTATCATGGCTGGAGAGAGCGAACAGATCATGAATGAGTCCCTCAATGAAATCCGTGCGCTCCGTTCCCGCTTGCAAACCAGCGGTGAATGGACTGCTGTCCTCGACTACTATGGTCGTGGACCTGTGAGGACCAGAGCAGCCGTGCTGTCATGGAACATGACATGGATGAGGATCCTACGGATGAGTGGGCTCAGGTGAGTGAAGTGGATTCCCTCGACTTTGACGAGCTGTTCGCCTCCCCAAACGCCCGAGAATGATCGCCAGACGCCGCCACCCAAGGATGTGAACCGCAAGGAGAAGAACAAGGCACCGGCCACCACCAGATCCATGCCGCCCGACGTCGCCGACCTTGAGCAGTGGGGAAACACCGTGATCGAGTTCGGCAAGTTCAAGAACTCCAACATGTCGTACTTCGAGCTCGCGACCGCGGACACCAAGAAAATGAACTCCTATAAGGTATGGGTCGTTAGCCACTTGGGACAGACGACAGGCCAATGCAAGGATTTCGGTGAGTATCTCAAGGCATTCACGGAGGCCGGCCTCATGAAGAAGCATGTGGTTATCCCAGGCACCACTTTGGTGCGCAAGTACAAGGCAAGCTCCAGCACCTCTTCCGACTCATCCGGCTCCAACAACACCGGACCTACGACGCCCCGCCGGAGGTGAAGCTCTTCGAGCTCGTGCACGACACTCCTGAGTGATCGTTTGTGGCTGTCTTCTTTCTGAGTATACTGTCGAATCTGGTAAAACTTTGAAGGATTTTGTAGGAGTGTTCGTGTCAAGATGTCAGCTGGATGCCGACATGTCACATACCTGCAGGCACTTTCATGGCCTCGAGGCAAAAGACACTTCAGGGGACGTGTAGTTCGGGCTACCATAACCTTTATGTTCCCTGTACCTATCTTTACTTTGCATGTTATTCAAACTGACATCTGCCTGGGTCTCCATGAATCGCGCCTCCCACACCAATACGTTTCCACTGTCCTTCATTCATCCTCCTCTGCAATGCAGGTTCCAAAAAGTCCAAACCTTTACAAAACGAAACGTCAACATTTACACAATCACAAATTGCGTCAATCAGGCAGCCGTGTCTTCGCCTGAGGCTGCAGCAGTGCCAAACCAAGAGACTGTGGGTGGGTTCAACGATATGCAACATTGCCTCGGTAGCACAACAGCCGGATCCCTCTTATCACCTCTGCAATGAGCAAGCCCTCTCTGGGCTCAGAACACAGAGAACTGCTGGACCACTGCATATCCAAAATGACCGCCGTGCAGCGGCATCGGCCTCGTTCCGGAACCATACAATAGCTGGCAACACCTGCTGTTAGGTGCAGCCACAGAGCCTGCACGAACCGGAAAAGCAGTGTCAAGCTGTCGTGCAAGCTCCATTCCTGCAGACTCTGCCAGGAGGAATGGAAGACTCGCGATTGCAGAGCTTCTCCTGTTCCACATGCTCGTCAGCAAAGTCCTCAGCTTCGCTTCTGGCTGCTCCGTCGGTAGTTTGGCCAACCAGGCACCGCGCGATCAGAGTTTGTAGAAGCTCTGCAACGGGATCCGCATCATGCCGCACCTGTGCACATGCATGAACATCCTGAGAGCGCTCTGAACTTCCTTCTGGCATGCACCAGGCAATGTCCCGTTTTGCGTTGGCAACAGGCTCGACACGTCGTCGGATGCGTTGAAGCTCTCCGGGGTGTGATTGGTGGCGACCGCGCGTACGGAATCGCGACCAGGAGCCAGACAAAGCAGGAATGTGCGCTCCCGAAGCACAACTTGCAACGGGCTCTCAACAATGCAATGCCTGCGGCTGGCGGCCAGTGCAACGCCTTCTCGAATACAAAGAAATCCCTTGAGGGTGGACTCTTGGTATACTCTTGGTCTGCGATACTGATACTGCGCTGGTCTCATTCCACAGGCTTAAGCTAGAGCTCCAGTGGAGCTCGCCGAGAAGGTGCCTTGACGGCCCGGTACGAGTAGCCGGACGCTTGCACACCACGTCCGGTTCAAGACTCTGTGAAATCAGCCCCGGCCTCAGCGAATGGCAGCACTTTCGGCCACTCGCACAGGTACTGCGTCTTGGCATAGCTGGGACAGGGATGACCGTAGAATCTCACCTCATGTTTCAAGCTGAATATGTCGCAACACACATCTGTTCTCGTCTGCACTGGCCTTTGGTGAAGAAGACGTGCATCCCGAATTCTTCGCCGCCTGACTAAATGACAGGACTGATTTTGCCACGTTGTACCGTTGCACCTTCTGCGCAGCAAGAACTGCAGAAGCTGGCTCCAAGGAAGTGGCCTGGACAAGCTGAAAGACATTGTCATGCAGCACGTTTTGCAAACTTCATCTAAGGCACTCCGTGAATCCCGAACACCTCAGCTCAGCGACAATGTCTCTGACGCAAGGCTGCAACAGAGGTCTTGCAGATTGCCATCCAGAGTTTGAAGCACATGGCAGCATGCTGAGAAGCAATGGGAGAAGAACGCGGGTGTAGGTCAACAAGCCGTCCTGAACCAAGGAGGCATGCCTGAACTTCACGACTGGCGAACACCCGAGGTACAGTTTGAGTTGAAGGAAGGTCCAACTCAAAACTCGGCAAGACACGATTTCCGCGAGTTCCTGTAAAATCTCAGGACTGAAACTCGCATGGATTTTGTAATCCGAAACTGGCGCTTAGGATTTGCAGCAGATGCAGGTCACTGCTCTCAACGCCAGTGAGACCCGTGACTCCGGCTTGACAGCATTGATTCTGATTGTAGGCGTAGAAGCGAAGCGGGAGTATGGGTTTCAAGACCGTCTTGGCGAAGGGCGGGCGCCCTGCTAACAAGTTATGTGCTATGTGCAAGTACTTGCAGCAAGCGTTCACTGGTCGGCTGGCCCTAACAACAACCACTAGAGTCACTAGAACGATGATTCAGGAGAACAACGTCAGGTTGAAATGCCACACCGATCAATGCCCGCGATGCCCGGCATTGCCTTGAAGCTATCGCGCCCCGCTAAGTCTTGTCTCTGCTGAGATATGCCGAGATCAAAGAACTGCCAGAACAAATTCCACCGTCTGAAATCATGTGCGTGTGCTTCTTCTGTCAGTCGGGATTAACAGTTATGCAGTGCTCGTAGAGGTATCGGAAGTCCAAAACGTGGCAAAGCAAGAGGGGACAAAAAAGGATCAAAGCCGAAACCCACAAAGGAGTGGCGCGGACCTTGTAACAGAAAGGCAAGCTGGCCTAGCCCGGGCACTTGCCATGAAGTGTTGAATTGTTGAGGCTACTCATTTGGGACGGGTGAGAGGGTCCAGAAACTCCACGGTACGCCGCCGCCTCTGACAGCCGGCATAGAACTGAGGAGGGGAAGGTGGCCATTGATGTTGAGAGAGTCCCCTGAGAGCTGCATGCTTCTGCGCGAATTCAACACGAGCTTCTGCCTGTGATACGAGTTTGGTTTATATAACTCTGTCACCAGCATGTTACAAAGATGAGCAGGCACGGACATGAACAACATCCCTGTCCGGTCTCAAGATGTCCGAGATGAACTAGATGTCACATTCCAGGCGCAAGGATCAGATCTTTACACTAAAAGATTCCAGGTTGAAACGACACAAGCAAGCCGGATCGGAATAAAGAGAAGAATAAGAATAAACGCTTGACCAAGTTGAGCGCAAGAGGTCCGGCTCATGCAAGGAAGATTTGCCAAGGATAGAACAAAAACAGAGCAACTAGATGTGCAGGTAACGAAACAATGCGGCCAGAGAAAAGACTCAACAAGATCTGGACGCTTATTGGTGAGTGCTGCGGCAGCACGAAATGCTAAACTCACCCCTGCTTTGCTAGTCAGCTTTACATGATGGGGTGACAGCACACAACGGCAAGGACACGGCGAAGTGACGGCCGATGTGCCTGCGACACGACTCAACTGTTTCAATTGGCGACTTGACGACTGCATCCGCTTCTTTATTTGTCGGAGGTGGCCGGTAGAACACATGCATACTCCATGCTGAGTCAAGATTTCCAGCTTGTATGTACCGACCATTCCAAAGGAGGCGCTTGCTGAAAGAACGTAGTCTTGCCAAGCAACCGCCAGGTCGGGGAGTGCCAAGGAACACAAAGCCCCAAGCCCACGTTCGGGCAAGGGCAAGGCCTGAAATGCTCTCGAACTGCTCCAGCTTTCTGACAGGGGCACACTCCTGCCTTGGGGGAGCTGCCCGTGCTTAGCAAACGCAGCCGCGAGAACCGCACGAAGCGAGGCTGCTCTGACTTCGCCATTTCCAAATTCCTCGCAACACTCTCACATGCCCCGACATTCCGTAAAGGTCCGTGAACTGACGACTGGCCTTGCATGGACCTTGTCTGCATGCAAGCTGCAACTCCACGTCAATACTCCGGACAGGCCAAGATGTGGATTCCATGAAATCGAAAAGCTGCTCGCCACCTGCCAGGGAGCTGCCAGGCGCTAGCGGGGCGAGCCGCTCTCTGTCCTGCCTTCCGTTGCTCCCAACAGCCACAGGACCAGTTGAAGATGCCGATCAGCATCCTCAACCAAAGCGAGAACACGCCACAGTCTCTGCAGTGTCGTCTCACGTAGAGTTGCAAAGCCACCACAGTCGGTCCCTGACGAAGCAATCTTCCTTTAACAAACTGACTGGAAGGAGCACGAGAGAAGGGTCGTCTAACATCCCAAACTGTGTCCGTGCTGGCTTCGTGATTGTGTATTTCCTAGCTGTTGGGATTGGAACCTCGTTCCGTGGAACAGCATGACGATATGCAACGAAGAGGGCAGTCACCAAGCCATACAAGCCTCGGCTGCGTTGGACTAGTGGACGAACCACACCATGTCGCACGTATCGTCTCGACTTTCAAACACCAAGCAGCAAATGTGACCTCTGGCAGCACCCCTTTGATTGCGGATCAGCCAGCCATCACCAAGAGCACCGGAGGCCATGACCTGCTGCCAAAACCATGCCACCAGAACACTGTGCCAATCACAACAGGCCTGAAGATCAGGTGGCAGCAGTGGAATTTCATTCTTGCTGTCATAAGTGCGAAAAGACCTACAGGATTTTGCAATCAGGAGTTTTGCAAATGACAGATGACACCAGCTCGGTGTCCCGGGTTGTCAGATCCAAGCAGCTCCCAAACAGCTCCAGCCGGGTGTACCCAGGATCGACCGGTGCTCACATCGTCGAATCGCTCCTGGCATTGCTCGCGCTAGCAAGCTCCAGCCTCCAGCAGTGAGATCTGGCGGCTCCAGCAGATCCGCTGCTACCAGCGCCAGCTCTGGATCCAGTGGCCTGCGGCGCTAGGGAATCTCCGCTCTAGGAAGTGTCTGGGCCTTGCGAACTTGGTCGTCGGCCAGCCGCTGTGAGCACTGGAGCTGGCCAGCCTGTCAAGGCACAAGAACCAAGTATTTCGCCAATGCACGGAGCAGAGGCGAACCTGAAGCAGCACGACCGCAAGTCTGTGGGCAATGTTGCGAATCAACACAGCGTGACAGCTTCACCCAACATGGATGTGAAACCGGAGCTCTCAACCGCAAATTGTCGATCAGACTGATTCTGAGTATGTGCATGCGATACTCCGCAGCAACATTTACAGTCGGCTGATGTCGGCATCTTTGCCTTCTGAAAGCAGTCCATGTCGAGCTGAACCCTGCTTCCTGGCACCAGAACTCCAGAGGCGCTGTGCTGGCAGCTTCTCATTAAGTAAGAATGGAGATGCTAGCAATTGGATGACATGCGACGGCCTCTGAACACTCCAGGAAGCTGGGCGTTGCCAGCCTGGTAGATTCGCCAGGAAGGCATTGACAGCTGTCGGCGCACTTCACCCTGCCTGATTCCGACAGCTTGCGCTGCTTGCCACACTCCCGCGATTGTGCTGAGCACTTTGCCCAGCATGCCATGCAAGCGACATGCTTGTGCCACGATGACATTCTGCAAGCACTCACAAGAGCACAAGTCTGACAGCCCAACGCCTGTCAGAGCTGACAAAATGATGCGTATATGCTTGCCCTACCTGCATGGAAAGGATGCTGCGAGAAGCGTCGCACGGAATTGGCTGCATGGACAAAATGCTCGCAAGCAACACGAAACACAGCCGAGTTGCTGTCCACAGTACGTTACAATGTTACAAGAATCAATCACCCGATCTGTCGCGAGGCAATGTTCGGATGTCTTTCTGAATTTTTGCCGTCACAGATCTCGGTCCCAGCTCTCCATTTCCTGCCGTCACAACAAACAAGAGAGTGTTGCGAAAGAACGCACTCCTGTTTGATTCCAGCGTCAGTCGCCTCCCGCGACGTGCCAGGAGGATGAATGCCTTTGGTGCGGCAAGACTCCGGTACCAATAGCGGGTTCATGCCTTGGTGCAAGCTGGGTTCAACCTCTGCATGTCGAATCGGGCATTGGCAGGGCGTGGAATGCAGGTGGCTTGCCGAAGCGAATCGCAAACTGAGAGTAATGTCGACACGATGGCGTCCAAATTCCCAAGAGTTATACTGCTCCACAGCGGCATCAGCTTTGCCGACATATGCATCTTCTGCTTACAACTGTCTGTGGAAATGTCAACCAACAACACAGAACCGAGAGATGCCCCAAAAATCATTAAACCCTCCATTTCAGGGATGGTGCTCAATGCATCAATGTTGGACTCAGCAGACAAACCAGCCATTCACAGCAATGCGAAACGCATAAGCAACTCAGCCACGAGCAAGCATTCCACATAACTTCCGATGGAGCATCCTCAGAAGCAGCCATTTGCCAGCTGACAACAGCACGGCTACTGTTGGACTACGTTGGACCTGAGTTTCACACGATGTCTAAGTCGAGGCAAAGCCCGGTAGTGAAACAAAACACCTCTGTTCAACGTTGACTGTTGAAGCGGTTTGAAAGCTTTGCCATGAGTTTGCACCTGCCGCCTTGATGTACACGACTTGCACAAGTCCCAAAACTCCTGCGTGTTTGATTAACGAAGCATGTCCAGCGGTGGGAAAGCCTCACTCCTTCGTTTCGCCGTCCCACAATGAGTCAGCAACGGTCCGAACAACCTGTGCGGTTCCCGTGAACAGAAACGAAATTTCATGTTGTACTACACATGTCGCTCCTGAAAAGCGAGCATGGAAAGCAAGCCACATCGAAGCATCAGCCGTGTGACACAACGTGTATGGCAACACACGACTGCAAGCTACAAGCCTACGAACTTTCGTGTCGCATCTGCAAAGCAGTAGTATCTTGACAAGCTCATGTGCCTCTTCACATGTCATGACTGGTGACTTGTGAAAAGCAGACTGTACTGAAGTGTTTGGGCACTGGCTATGGCTGAAATCTGCAAGCCAACCATACAAAAACAACACAGATCCTCTCCCAAGCTGCAAGTCTCAACGGTGCCGCATTGAAACAAGCTTTTTACACGTATCACATTCAATCGGAACCTTTACCTTCTCAACGCAACACAACCCACTTGAATGAAGTTCTACTTGTTGCAGCGTTAAGCCGAATGTCGCATCGAAAACCATGCAGTCAACAAAACTACTCCACGTTGAAAGCTACAAGCTGCTCTGGCACAGGCGCTCATCACTCCTCATACGCATGCACAGTCATGTAAAGTGCGCAGCGTTTGCATCAACAGCAATGCATGTTAGCTTCGGTAGTGGACAACTTCACTGCATCTGAAACATTTGCAAAAACATTTTGCGCAAGTAAGATTACAATCGACTGTACACAATGCTTATTCGACTCACGTCGTGCGCAGCTCGCTTCCGAGCGTGCCCAAAACTTCGTCATGACGGTAGTAGAAGATTGAAATGCCCTAGCTGCCGTAGCTGCCATCAGGAAGATCTTTCTAAATCCTTCCGGTCCAAGTCGAGTTCCAAACCCCCAACGTCGTGTTGGCCAAAGGGCTTGCCCGGAGGGACTGGGATCGAACGTCAATCTAAAAATCCGAATCCAACTCAGTCCAGCTTCCTTGCCATGCCCATTGGCCCATTTTGAAGCATAAGTCGATTGGAAGCAAAATTCACAATAGGTTTTCTGCTTGAAAATCAACAAAAACTGCTGTTTTTCAAACACAAAAAACCCTTCCAAAACATGAAACTGGCAACATAAAAAAAAACTGTCCATCTGTGTCAACCTGGATGGTGCTGCTGTTCCTGCCACCCAAAAACGCGCCAGCAGAGTTCTGTTCCTTCTTTTCCTTCACTGCTAGTAACAGGCAGATAAGTTTTTAGCTTGGACGGCTTCGTCGACAGCGGCACACAGCAGAAACCAAACAAACAAGACATCGGTGAAAACATGCTCACAAAAAGACACATACAAAGAACTACGGCGAGCCGGTCAAGAGCAGAGGGGCCGTCGCTCCAGACTTCCAGGCCGTCCATCCTCGCAGCGCTCCAGATTAGCCCAGCATGGCCAGTGATGCTAAATACAATGCCGATCTCTCAGCAGTGTTGGATCACTGACATCACAACGCAAGGGAAATGGAGAAATGGACGATGTTCGAACTCCGGAGGAGGGCAAACAGAACATCGAAACTTGGGATTGAACCCTGGGTTCGAACTTCGCGAACTCAAGTTCAACCTGGGTTCGAAGGAACTCCATGTTCGAACCTTGGGTTCGGGAAACTCTACCTAAACCCTAAAGACCAAAGAACGTAGAGTTCCCCGAGCCCGGGGTTCGAACATAGAGTTCCCCGAACCCCTACATAGGTTGTTGGGAGGGTCTTTGAACCTGGGTCGGGCACTCAAAGTTCCGAACCTGGAGTCTTTTACAACTCTGAACTAAGAGTTCAGGCCCTTGAACCTAGAGAAGTTCCCTCCGAACCCGGGGTTCCTTTGTTCAACCAGTTTAACTCAACTCCCAGACTCTCGAACTCGGAGATAAACTTGCCAAACCTGCCAGAATTCGAACCTTTTTTTGGCTTCAGCGGGCTTCGTTGACTGCGTCAACAGCGCTCAGTCCCTAAAACCTAACGACGCAAACACGAACAGAAACCATACAAACACTATCGCAAACAAGGTGAAACCGAGGCAAACGTGAATAGCTGCGGCATGCGGACTTGGTCAACACTGACCGTTCAGCATCAAACTACGGCCCCTCAGCGACCGGTCAGGAGCAACAATGGGCCGTCACCCAGAGCCGCTCAAAACAACAGGTGGAGCCCAAAAGCGAAGCTCCGGCCGTCGTTCTAGTCTCGCCAGACAACGGTCGACCCCCGTGTGCTGTTCCTTCGTGGTCGTGCACACCAAAGTCCAAAGCCAAGGCCAAACTGCAGTATGCAGACAGCCAGATACGAGTGGCAAAGGCTGGGGAGAGAGCCACCACACTAGCCGGCACGTTAACCCGGCGTAGAAGCGGACACACAGATGGGCGGAATGCCGGGTCGGGGCCACTCATCAAGGGTGCTGTAAGTTGGATCAATCATATCCTCGTCCCGTAGAAGATACAGAAACCGGAAGTTGCGGTCGGTATATGCCTCACTTAGTTGGTCGGGACTGTATCGCGCCTGTGTGCTTTCGGGGTCGGATGCAGTTCCGGCATCAGCTTAGGCGGTCCAACTCCACCGCTGCGGCAAAATAGCTCCCCTTCGCTTCGCCACTCATCATATATGCCGGCCAATGGCCCAGGTGGTACCGATCAGGTAGATCTTTGTACTCAGAATCGTCCGGCTCAACACTGGCAAGGTTGGCATGCATGACTTTGGCTCGCTGATTGCGGAGAATGTACCAACCGAGGCGCAAGAAGCGCTCCGGGAAGTAGAAGCTTTTGCGAAAGGGGCCGCGAAACCAGTAAACGCACACCTGCTGTAAATCCCATCCAACCGAGGTAGCGCGATTACGGATCCGACTGAGTGCGTTATGAAGAAGTCCCGCCGGCTGGATTTGCAAGGAAGGAGCGGAACCCAATCCCAAGGCAAGTTCTTCTGAAGGGAGCACCAGGCGGACCGTGCCTGCATAAACATGAGGGTGAGTAAACATGCAGGGATCGATTTCCTGGCGTTCGGAGCCGTCTGAGACGAGCCGGAAAACGAATTCGGCATGCAGAAAGAGAAAAGGGGGGGTTCAACTTTACCTAACCCAAGACACGCTACAAGCTACAGAGCAAAGCTAAGCAGAGAGACCTTTTGACTTTGCCGGAAACGCGAGAAGTAAGTTGAAGCTGCAAGCCAAAGCTAAGCAAAGTAAAGCTACAACGAAGCTTCGAGAGTTTAGACCCCCCTCGCCCAAAGTAAAGCAACAAAAGTACGAAAAGTATAAAAAGCTATGATAACAGCTAAGATATAATATCACCAAGGGTAGGGCGGGTGGGTCAAAATTTTAAAGCATGGAGCGAAGCTTTAAGCTATGCTGAAGCACGCGTGTCTTGGGCCGAAATGTTGTGTTTGGAACATGGTAAAGTAAAACACCCATGAGTAAACACATGAAACGTTCAACTTTACCTAACCCAAGACACGCTACAAGCTACAGAGCAAAGCTAAGCAGAGAGACCTTTTGACTTTGCCGGAAACGCGAGAAGTAAGTTGAAGCTGCAAGCCAAAGCTAAGCAAAGTAAAGCTACAACGAAGCTTCGAGAGTTTAGACCCACAGTTTAACCGGCAAAGTCAAAGTCTCGCCCTATGGTTCCCCAATGTTCAAAGTGAGGATTTGACGCGCTCGCTCAGTGAAACGCTGCACCCCGGGCAACAATCCTGCGGGCGTAAAGCAGCACCATGCCACCCCGGGCAATCATCCTGCGGGTGGAGCATATGCTGCACCCCGGGCAAACATCCTGCGGGTGTAAAGCAGCAGGATAAAGGCCCCGAGCAAATATCCTGCGGGCACTGTCATATGTCATCATCTGACACATGTCGTTCCAGTGTCACCTGTGGTAAAGAAAAGTGGGAAGGCCACACCAGGACCTCTTTGCGAAAGAACCAGATGAACTTGAGAGAGCAATCCACCCGGTCTTCTTTGCACCATTTGTCAGGTAAAGAATCCGTTTGATTCCACCTGCTCAAGAGATCAGCATCATCATTTTTCTCACCGGCGATGTGAGAAATATCCAGCTCGATACCCGAAGCTGCGGATATGAGGGAAAGTTTCTGAGCAAACGCTCCCAGTGGCCACTTGGCGGTGTAAAGTTTCGCGCCCAATGCCTCCGTTGAGGCGTTGTCAGAAAAGGAAGGGAGGCGAACTACCACGCGACCCGAAGGAAATACTGACCTGTAAGCATGTACCAAAGCAATCTGCGCCAAAGTTTCATAACAGGCAATATCTTTGTGCGCGGGTCGGCGAAGTTCCAAACCCAAAACTGACAGATCTGAAAGTTGCCAAGCTTGTGAAAACCAGATGTATGCACCAGACGGGAAAGCAATAAAACCTCCAATCCCAATAAGCTCGCCATCAGCTCTTGCATCCGCAAAGGCCTCAACCTGGAGTCGCAAAGGAACAGAAAGGGCAGTGTAAGGCTGAGGTCTTTGACACCATTCTTTCCAGAATGAAAGAAAAGTCCGCGATGCTGGTGACAAAGAACGCCGATCAGATTTGGGATTGGTCACCCGCATCCAGATCCGATTGGAGGTACGTACCTTGCAAAGGTCTAGCTTTGTTTTCAGTTCCGTGTGTCGCGCTTCCAGTAGCTTACCTCCAAGTGGAACCTGAGTACCCGGAGGTACGGATGTAAAGCGGAGATCATCATCCAGGTAGTTAGCCAACGAAGGCCAGAGCCCCTGTGATATGCTATACTGGGAAGCCAAATGCCGATGCAGATCTGAGAAAAGAGAAGCAAGCCAAGGTTTGCACGATCTGTAAAGCTGACAGAACCACTGTAGGAGTCCCACCAACTTGTGGAGCAAGGCACTCGTAACCCTTCTGGACCGTGTGGCTTCCTTAATCAAATTGAAAAGCTTATCAACTTTCTCTTGCGGAATATGAAAAGAGCCGCTGGTAAAGTTGAATGTCCAGCCAATCCAGGTAGTGCAACACCCCAATTGCAACTTGGCCCAGCTCAACGGCACTCCGAATATAGATGTAAAGCAAAGTAAGAGTGACGCGGAATAAAGGATGCACTCACGGTCCTGGATGAAAAGAAAATCGTCGACGTAACCCATGAGAGCATGGCGCACAAAGATCCAGAGATGCATGAGGCGTAAAAGCATGCCCGCCAGCCGTTGAAACCACAAAGCAGAAAAGTTTGCACCGAATGGACAAACTCGGTAAAAGAAAAGTTTATCATCTTCACCCTCTTCTCCCGGTAAAGTGACACCAAGAAGTCCCTGGTCCGCCTCTTTGACCCGAACCGTTTTATGCGCCGCCTTGACGTCGAGATGGAAGCCTTCACACAGGCCTGCATGAAGGCGTAAAGGAAAGCAATCTCGAACATCTTGCAGACCTGGCAAAGTATAGCGCTCAGGAATAGAGCATGCATCGTTGGTGCCACACACAGTGGAGTCTACCACCAGCCTGGGAGCTCTCGGAGGAGAAAGTACAAGGGACATTTTCCCTACTGCAACGCGCTCTCCCCAACGCTCCTGTGCCCCGTGCAAAGAGGGCATTTCAAAAAGCCATCCCTTCTGAACCTCAGATTGCACCAGTTCGCGCAAAGTGTCCGGATCGTTGTTAGCACTTTGCCAGTTGTCCTTGGCGATGGAAAGCTGGTGATCAAGCTCCGGCGCCGAAGGATGTGGTATGAACACCTTGGAAAGAGGGATGTCGCCGTCATATCCCGTGGGAACACCATCAAGCGAACACTGGCAAAGCGTATCATCTTTGTCCTTGACAAATTGCGAGAAGAACTTCAAAGCATGCAAAGCATAAGGTTGGTGATCCGGAATCGTCCAGTCAACCACATGTGATGATCCTTGTTCCGAGACCCAGCATTGGAAAAGCTGTCGGAGATGCTGAATCTCACCTTCCTGAAAGAGTGGCTCTGAGCTGTGCTGTAAAGCATGGGCCTGTAGTCGTTGTGGGATCTTTTCGTCAAAGATCCACTGTCGAAGTTTGAACCTGAGATCGCAAAGGACATCCTGAACACCAGGCGGAGGCGTACTCCAATCAGGCACCGAGTAAATCCCAGCACCATCCTGGTTGGCAAAGGGCGGCTCGAATCTCTCTTTGACATGCCTCAGAAAAGGAATCTGGCCAAACTGCAAATCTTTGGGTTCCGGGCTTCTCTGAGCGAAAAGATGCAAAGAACCCTCGGCCACTGCGAGCACAAAGTCCGCACTCAATGAAGAAAACTCGAATTCCCGATGGGCCTGCATTGGAGACCCCGTCGAGGATGCAGTGGCTAAAAACTGCAAAGATGAAAAGGATGCAGCCAGGAGCCCAAAGCCTTCGAAGTTGCAACCAAACCGTTGTGGGTCCCAGAAAATAGCGTCTGCACCCATCTGCTGCAAAAGAAAAATCACCGAAGCGTGGCTCCATACTGCAGAATTAGAGTGCTGAGAAAGCAGTACATGAGAACCCGCCGCAAAGCATGCGTGTGCTATCTGAATCATGCGCTCGAAAAGACTCGAAGAGAAATCACTGGCGCAAAGCAGGATGTGCAAAAGGGCAACCTGCCCAGAGTGACAAACCCTGAACAAGGCAAAGAAGAACTCATCTTGTAGAAGGTCACGTTCAGGGAAAATTTCGGGAGCGACCGAGAAAGTATCACAGCCAGCTCCAAGAAATGCTGCTGAAAGAGGGCGCCGGGCCCCGTTGATGTCCAGGAAAAGGCCTGAGTCGAGTTCCGAGACAGAGCATGCAAAGTTCTGAGGAGCACTCTGTACCACGGGCTCCGGAGGGGTAGCACATGGTTGTGGAAAAGGAGCATCTCCTGTAGCATCTGCAAGCAAAGCAACTGGAACCAGGCCTTCCTCGCCTGCATAGTCCAGGCCCGGTCCCCCTCATGCACCTGCCTTTTGTGCATGCTGAAAAGCCGGATGCTTCTGCAAGCAAATCTTACCGTTCTCCAGGATCACGGGGCAAAGGTGCTCAAACTTGCAATTGTTGGAAGTGCAGCCTTTGTGGGTACTGTATGCCATGCAAAGCACCTTGGTCTCTCCATTGATCTTCGCCTTGTTTGCCCACTCAAAGGCATGTGTGCCTTTGGTAAAGGTGGACTTTCCCTTTCCAGGGGTAGTACCTCCCTTGCCTCCGGTGGACTTACCCCCCTTGTGGGGCTGTTCTCCGTAACCGTTGTGTTTAGGAAGGGCGCTGTGAGCGAAGTTTACAAAACTCAGTTCCCTCATCAGAAATTTTATTGCCCAGAAGATATATTGGGCAAACGGAAATATCGGCGAAGGTATAAATGCACCGACGGTATCCCCGGAGAATATATGGGGTATAAATTCTCATATCTTGCTTTCGCCTCTTGGGACTCCAATCAAATGTATCCTCGCAACTTAATGATGAATATCTAAAGAGATAGCAACTGCCGAAAGGAGCACGCAGGATGTTTTCAAACGGATGGCGGCAGGCTCACGCAGGCATCTAATTCTTGAACAGGTCTTTGACGTGTCGGGAAGGCGCACCTGTGTGCCTGTGCCCCCCCCGCCCACGTGGTTTGAGACCACAGTATCTACAAGGGAGTGGAGGGTGGGAATCAAAATTTTCCCTGCTCCTGAGCCTGAGCTCTGCGTCCATGATAAGCATTGAGATTGTGCGCGCACTCAGCTTCTGGCTCAATTCTGAAAAGCGCACGATACGTAAAATAAAATAGAAACTCAAAACTGCTAAATAAAACTTTTCTCTTTGAAACTGCGGAGATCTTCGAGTTGGTCTAGTCGAGGGAACTCCTCCTACCCACAGAGACATCCCGCCCCGCCCACCCAAAACGTTTACTCTAAACAGCGCCGCCGGGCAAGCCCGGCAGGGCCTGTTCTCCGTACTCACGGTGTCACGACAAGAGCCCTTGCACCTACCATGGAGAGCAGGCGCGCAGGTCCCTCGCCGCTGCTGGTTCGTGTCGTCTCGTTGTCCATTCGTCACTGTGCAACGAAAGGCTCGGCTGTACAGAAAAAAGAGACTGTAACTGCGACTAGCCTTACAACATCCACATTCCCCCATGCGAAAGTGCAAAGCGAAGCATGATGGTCAAAGGAGGGTATATACTACAAAGCCAGGTGTCATGAGATGACAGAGGCTGCTACGAAGAGTCCTCGGTACCATACTTTAGCATGTGTGACCAAGTTGACTCCAGGAAAAGACTACAAGACTACGTACACGTCCAGGCTACGCTCGTACTCAGTTGGGCTTGCCGCAGGAACTCAGGACTCAGTCACCAGAAGACCGCAGCAGCCACAGCAGCCACAGCGCAGCAGCCGCCAGCAGCCCCAGCGCAGCAGCCGCAGAGGCCACAGGGGATCCTCGACGAGGTAGCACAAGAGGGTGTTTCGAGCTTCCAAACGCTGCCAAGCAAGCACAGTAGAACGGTCTAGGCAATGCTTCGTCACAGCAGGCTGCAGAGAGCATCGCCACTGTCTCGAGGTGCACCGGACGGTGCTCAAGCGCAAGAAAGGAAAGACCGCCCCTGTCGAGGGGCCTGCACTTCGAGGGCAATCACTGCCCAGGATGGGCCACGGCCCCACATATCTAGTATTTGTTGTAAGAAAAGTCCTGGGATCAGAACTCTCGCCAGCAGCAGCCTCGCTCACGACGTGAGCATAGCCGCGCTCAGCCAAGGTTCCGAGCTCTCACCAGGTGCACCTGGGACCCCTAAGGGGGGAAGGAGGGGCCTAAACCCAACGGAACCCAAAGGGGAAAGGGAGGACATTGCAGAGCCGCATAGGGCCTGGGAGCGCGATCTCCAGCCGCAGCAGCATCTTCACGCAGCGGGGCGAGGCCGCGCTTGGTACACAAGGGAGGGATGAGGCCTAAACCCGAGTAAACCTGAAGAGGAGGAGCTCACAGGAGCTCCTATGGGCATTAAGGGGGTGGGCCTAAACCAACACTAGGGAACCCCACAAAAGGGGAGTGGTCCAGCAGGCAAGGCGCACTACGAAAACCAAGTTGGGTGCAGCCCTACAAAACCCATCCTAGGGAGGGGAGTCCAAAGGCTTGAGATGATCGTACAGAAGGGCAGATGATGCGGCTGCCGCGGAGATTGCAGCAACTTCCCATCGCTCAGCTTCCTCAGAGCGTCGATGCCACTCCACTCGAGAGGAGCCTTGAGCCCTTGAGTCACGTCTTTGGTTGGCTGCCCGGTCGGCCTTGTCATTCAGGTCACGACATCGGCGATCATCCAACCCTAAAGGCGGTTGCCAATCGAGTCGTTTGTTGTGCGAGGGGACCCACACCAGGTGGACAGCTTTATAGTCCCGACGGAGTGCTCGCAACAACGCAGCCGACTCCTCCGCCAGGCACCTGAGCTTGCTAGTGTCGGGACGCTGAACAGAATCCAAAGCACTTTGGCAATCGACCAAGACGGTTACGGTGGAGTTGTTGTACTGCTGCCCCCTCGGGAGAGCTTGCAGGAGGGCATTCAAACCGACCATCTCGTACCGAAAGGGAGATTGGTCTTCGGCATCATCTCCTGCGGAGAAGGTGTCTTCAGAACTCTCCGTCACCACTGCACAAGCACCTACCCCAAGATGATGGCTCCCATCACTGGCAACAAGGATGTTGCCGGCATCATGTGTCAGGACCTGACAGAAATGGTCTCGTAAAGCCTGAATCATGGCTGGGACCTGGTTGCCATCAGGGGCAGCTGGGTATTCCGGCAGGGGGGCTCCAAACAGCCTTTCTTCTACTCTGTTCGTGGGGGTCCGGAGACCCTGCCTGTGCACAACTGTCTTTGGGCATACCCACGTAACGTGGGCTCGCGAGGGCCAGGAGAGATTGCACAGGCATTTGACCTCCGAATCACGCATAGAAGGGAGGCGCTGACGGTGGTACCAGGCCGAACCGCCTGTGGCAAGAGAGGCTCGGCGAACATCAAGTGTCTGGCTCTGTCCGAGAAGTCTGTGGCCAGCCAGGGCGAAGCGGATGCTCGGGCACGGCGCATCAAGATTTAGGCCCATAGCAAGGCCTACCTCTGCACGGTGGTAAGAGGTCTTGACACGTCCACAGTTTGCGATGCCTCGCTTGCGGTGCTCTTCGGTGAGCCAGTCGCGCAAAACTTGGATGTTCTGCCACCCGAAACAAAAGCGTCGCGTCTGCCCGGCATCGTCGACTCGAGAGATGGCGGCGCCGTTGAGTTCAAGTGTCCAGCCCAAGTCGGTGGCGGTGCTGACTGCATGGGGGAGTACAGCCTGCACCGGGTTGTCACTTTGAGCTGCACCCCTTGTCACATGTCTTCCGACTGCACCTAAGGCCCTCCATTGCAAAAGCCATTTGGGGTCCCACTGCCATCCGTGGACTTCGGCTAGAAGGACCCACGGAGTTTCGCCTGTGATCTGGGGTTTGAGGGCTCGGTGGACCGACTTCCTGATGGCGGTGAGATCCTTCGCTTCCGGGGCTGCGATGCCCGCAGCCCAAGCCAGAGCAGCGAAAACCAAACTAGAACACACGACCCTTGCCACACCGAAAGAGGGGTTCAGGATGTTTAGGGCACGAAGGCGAGCCTGGAGGGTGTCAACACTCAGCTTAAGTAAGCCGGTTTTCCCACTGTCAAGCTCAACAGTGAGGCCCAAAATTTCCAAACGGTGACGGGTCGGATAGCCCAACTGTGCCGCTAGTGTACCCAGCTTGGGGCGGGCCTTAGGCTCGACAATCGCGCACTTCGAGGGACGGCAGGTAAAATTCATGACCTTATCAAAGAAATTACTTCGCGTCACCCCATCCACGAGAGCCGCCTCCACGTCCCTGGCCCCTGGTGGCGCCCATAAGAGCCTATCATCCACGAAGATAAGCGCCTGGGTGGGACCGCCCCGGGTGACGTAAGCATGCCACACGTTGCCGATCAAAAGGGCGCACAGGGGAGACAGGGGGCACCCCTGCAGCAGACCTTTAGAAGGCGTCCTCCACCTTCCATTGGTGACTTTAGAGACCTTGAACAATCTTTGAGCATTGCTGTAGAACGATGCCAGCAGCCTGCCCAGGCAGGGCGGGGCCCGCATGTGGTCAAGGATGGTGAGCAGCTGTGGGAGCCTGATGCTGTCAAAATACGCGGATAAGTCTTGTTGAATGTAGGCTTTGGCACCCTGGTGCCAGCTCTGCAAGATGACGCCATGAGCGTCAGTGGTGCCTTTGCCTGGGGCTCCTCCAGCAGCCTGGGGCGAGCACCACGATGCAATCCACACTTGCATACGCCTGCACAGGATGCGGGCACCCGCGCGCCAAAAGAAGGATGTCAGCGCTATGGGGCGGTACTCAGTATGTGCTTTAGGGACAAGTATTACCAACGCACGTCTCCACAGCAGTGGGACTTGCCCACTGGAGAGCACAAATGTCCAGAGTCGTCCCAAGGCTTCCCACCACTCAGATGGCAGGTGCAGGGTCTCGGCACCCCATTGGTCGGGGCCGACGGCCTTGCGGGACATTCTTTTGACCGCATCAAAAAGTTCCTGCCCTTTGATGGATAAGTCCACTGAAGCCTGAGTCGGCCTGGGGAGGGCACTCAAGATTTCGGCCAGGTCGGCCTGGTTGATGGGCTCAGAATCGCAAGACCACTTGTTCATCCACACCCTGCTTTGAGTGTTGACGACAGAAGTGGGGTGGATGTCAGTGGGAGCTTTGGCCAACTCGCAGGGCGGGGTGTCGAGCTCGACACGGCGCGCAGCCCACCGCTTGACCCAGGCAGTGGCAGCAGTGACATTGTTGGTTTCAGTCCTCCACCTGGCTATGCGAAGCTGCTTTTCCTGGGCAGTTAAGTCCGACCGCAAAGCTTCAACTCTAGCGAGAGTGGCGTCAAGATCATTAAGGTCCAAGAAAGGGCAGTCA